GATATCGTCCTCTTTTGGAAGGCCAAACAAAGTAGTTTCGCTTTCACAACGAATCACACAGTGCCTTCACGACATGGCGGCGGCAACAACAATACTACAGCGAGAATAAAAGTTACACCTTCTTTCTTTGCGTGAACATTTGGGCGGCGTTATGCAAATCTTCCCACATAGTGACGTAGACATGTGGGGGCGTGTTAGAACGAGCCGTTTTAGGTAGGCGTGGTTGACTCTTAACTTTTATAAAGAATATCTCTTTGGATTTGAGACTTTAGTCTTTGCAACTTTACAGATCTTCTTTATGCACCAAGAGTTTGTAACACTCCAAAGAGAAAGGAAAAATTGAAATCGCATCATATGACCCCTTTAACAGACGAGCAGCAGCATTTTGTACCATCTGTAAACGTTTAAGGGAGGCCTGATTGATACCTACATAGAAGCCATTACAATAGTCAAGACGGGTCCAGATAAAAGCGTGTATGACCCTTTCAAAATCATTAAAAGACAAAAAAGACTTGACTCTTTATAATTGCCTCTACTGAAAAAAACTAGATTTAATTACTGAATTAATTTGTTTATCCAATTTAAAATCACTGTCCATTATAACACCCAGGTTTTTAACATTTGGCTTTACATATGATTTTATAACACTCAAATCTACATTAAGGGGGTCACAGGTGTTGTCAGGTCTAAATATCATGACTTCTGTTTTTTATTCATTGAACTTTAAAAAATGTAAAGCCATCCAGGCCCTAACCTCCTCAAGACAGTCCAACAGTGGTGCTATAGAGTTTGCATCTTTCCGTTTCAAAGGAAGATAAAGTTGTGTATCGTCTGCATAACAATGAAATGAGATGCCGTATTTCCTAAAAATGAACCCTAACGGAAGTAGATATAATGAAAATAAGATGGGTCCAAGAATGGAACCCTAAGGGACACCACACGAGAGAGATGCAGAGGATGACACAAAATCCCCAAGGCGGACTGAGAAACTTCTGTCAGACAAATAAGATCTAAACCACTCCAGAGCAGTTCCCCTAACTCCAACGCAATGCTCCAACCGAGAAATCAGGATGTTATGGTCTACAGTATCGAATGCAGCCGTAAGATCCAGGAGCATGAGGACTGCATAATCACCTGAGTCAGTAGCTAGTAACAGGTCATTCAAAACTTTCAACAGGGCCGTTTCTGTGCTGTGGAGTGATTTAAAACCAGACTGAAACACTTCCTGCAAACCATGTTGACTTAAAAATGATTGCAATAATACATTGCAGTAAAGTAAAGCTAAAGCTTAAATAGTAAATAATATAAGTAAAGCTGAAATAAAATAGTAAAGTAAAGCTGAAATTAAATTAAATATGAATATTAGATGTAAAACTTTATCGAAATATTGCCTTGGCAACTGATTGAAATAATATAAGTGCTAAAATTACTAAAACTGAAATAATATGATACTAAATTGATATAAAAATATATAATTATAATAAAAATAAAAGCTAATTCAAAATAACAATAAATAAATAATACTAAAATAACAGTTTGTAATTTGTTTAGTTCAGATCAATTACATGTCTGGTCAAATCAATCACACATTGAGCTTGCATCTGTGTGAACAGGGAAACACATCTATCTGGTATCTAAGCACTCTGCTTATGAAGGTATCGATTTTGTATCACTATGTTTAGACCATCTTTTCATTTATAAATCAATGTGGGACTATTTTTGCACTAAGACCAGACTCATATTAATATAGCCACTCTCTTCAATATGTTCTCTGTCAGATCTTAATTTAGCTTGCTCTGAGTAAAGGAAACTTGTTCTTATAAGCCCAGATATCTAGTTTTGAACCATAGACAAAAATCTGGCACTAAAGGGTCATAAGAAAGCTATGACTATTGGTGCTTGATTGGACTTTTGCTAATATTTAAGATTAAACCTTAGTGCATAATAACTCATCTTGAACCACTGATTGAACAGTGTGCTATTAATTTTCCAATCGATCTAAAGATAAAATGCGTAAAAACAAGAGCAAACTTCTAGGAACCAGAATATCAAACTCTAGAGTTGCATTAGCAACATTTGGATTCATTTTGTGAGCGAAAAAATGTTCATTGTCAATATCATAGCAATATATGAAGCAGCTTTCAGTTGGTTCTTATAGTGAATTCACACAACCAACCTGAACATGAGTGAAATCAATGTGAAGTTTTTTGCCTTCACTTGAAATTCCTGATCATGTGGATTCCTGTATTGAAATAACTTGATTTCATTCACAAAATTTTGCTGAGCAGTGGTCAGTAGGATTCTTAACATTTATTCATTGATTAACACTGATTAACAAATTAACATTGTGAGAATTTTACGCAGGCATGCTCCACTCACATTTTCTTCTGAAAAAGTAAAATCTAGTTTGTTCCTTGGTTGAGAAGTGAGGTTTTAATTAGAAATGCACAAAACCAAACAGTAATTGTAAGTCGATATTTGCTCAGTACTCAGACAGTTCCTTTAACTGTTTTGTATGACTTCATGCATTACATACACATGTTTATCTGCAACCTTCATTGTCATTATTCTGAGAACTGAGCTAAAAAGTTATCACGACACAAGGTCATTGACATTTAACAAGCTGCTAGAAAAACTGGAATCTAGTCCAGGAATAGACTTAAGACAAACTGCCTTAAGAAGCTGTAAAGGGAATTCAGTTATGGTGATATGGGTCTGTACTTTAGGCATATTAGATTAATCTTAACTTAAATGGTTGCTATTGTGTTTCTAGCCATCATGATACTGGAAAAGGTTGACAGTAGCTCATTTAAAGAAGCTCATTTAGAGAATAAATTTTGATGTAGTTCAATCCAAAGTGGACATCTGATCTTCATAGAAACATTATTAATATTAAACTAAAATATCTAAATAAATTAAAATCTTAAATTATTAATATGGTCTTCTTATTCAACTGGTTTAGGTGAAAAATTGTTTTAAAAATGAAATGCATCTAAACTGAAGAGCTCTATTGCCATCTTCATTGTCCGTTCAAACCCTCAACTGATACTGGACAATTTAGATCAGATTAACTTACACTTGAGCTGCTGCTTCTGCCAAAGATAAGCCATTTCCTCTCCCTCCTTCCCTGAAACTGGTCTTGTACACGCACACACACCAACACATCAATAAAGGGCATTAACAACCACGTAACTTGTTCTCTTCTCAGGACCTCTCTCTCTCTTTTTACCTTATCAAATAACGTTCAGAATACTCTGGAATGGCTTGATATGCCAGTTAATATAACATTTATGCACACAATTTATCTCATAGTGTACATACAGGATGATGCTGAGTGCCAGTGTTGGTGTGTGTGAGGGTGAGTCAGCGCTCTGACAGTCACTGCAGTGTACACTCTCTCTCTCTTTCTCACACTCATACACACACACACACACACACAGTCTGTATTGCAATGTGAACTTATCCTCACACATTTGTTTTTATCTGACAGAAAAGCTGCTGTGTGCATTACTGTTCCTGCTGACACAGATGGGAGAGATGCCAGCACACACACACCACTCACTGTCATCTTCTTCCCCTTTTATCTTTTTATTAGGAAGGGGAGTTATGAAAAGTTGTGGTTGAAGATTATATTGGGAAGAGGTCATTATGACATCTGAATCTGTGTGTGTGTTCAGATTTCTGTCAGGTGGAGCTGCGTCTCTTGGCTCACCTATCAGCTGACCCACAGCTGCTGAGAATCTTTCAGAACACTGAAGCAGACGCCTTCACCATGCTGGCAGCTCAGTGGTGGGTACACACTCCCATCTATTAGTGTATATAATGCACACATACAGAACACATTTTTGTTTTTGTTTTGTTTTGCTTTTTTTAAGCATGCATGTTTTCAATGTGACAAGTTTGGGGTCTTGAATAAATAAATGAATGCATTTATTCATGGATGAGTTACATTGATCAAAAGTGACAGTAAATAGTACTAAATACATTTATAATGTTGCAAAAAATGTATGTCTTTATGTATTTGTCATGTGACACTGAAGACTGGAATAATGGCTGCTAAAAATTAAGCTATGCCATCACAGGAATAAATAACATTTTAAAATATATTAAAATAGAAAACTTATTTTAAATTGTAATAATATTTCACAATGTTACAGAATTTTTGCAGCCTCGGTGAACATAAGACATTTCTTTCAAAAATATCTTACCAACCCCAAACATTGGAATGATTGTGTACACCTGTACTGATCTGGTCATGAGAAAGGGACAGTATGTTGTGTCCAGGAAACAGTTACTTTAAACGCTTGTTTTGCTATGGCAGCAGAGGCATCATGAGTGTTTTGTTTTGTCTTGCTGACAGGTCCCCTTAGTGTATTTGCACTAATAAACTCATTATGGTTTTAAACCATTAGAAATGATGATCCCACTGTCATACAGCTCATAATGAGCAGTTTAGAGAAGTCTAAAATTAAACACCTCTGCCTTTTTTAGCAATAGCATTTTTTGTAAATGAAACAATTTGTTTATATTGTATATTGCTATCTTTATTTTTAATACTATATTTTATTTAATTGAAACCCTTTCAGTGTGTGTGTGTGT